GCCCCCCTCACTGTGAGTGGAGCTCATTGTTTCACACAGCGGTGCCCTGCATTAATATCCTGCAATATTGAAGTGAACAAACCGCTTTAGGTCCCCTTTAAACCCTTAACTTAAAATATTCAAACATGGTACAGTATCCCAAATAGTTGGAATCAATGCACACTCTACAATTCGGCTGCAATTGACTGGCCAATCCAGTGTGTAGTCCACCTTTAACCTACAAACAACTGGAATAGGCTTGAATTCATCGACACCTTACCCAGGATACTTGCTATCATCTGTTCAGCCCTCTTACAATTTTTAATAGATTAAATAAACATTTGTCTCTTATCGATTCCAATTCATGTCACTGATGGTCAATTGCTTTACTTGCCCAACTTCAAACAATCAAATCGGGTTGGCTAAAGTTTAAGCCTTTTAGTCTGTTAGCTTAATGCTAGTGCTAAATAGCATTTGTGTTGCGGTGCTGTAACCCTTTCGTTTGAAAATATTTGTTATTCATTTAATACAGTTGAACTCTTAAGTGTGAATCTTTCATTTACTTGCGCATTTAATTATATATTTCGACATTGCCCTGTGGTCAGTTGTCATGTTTTTTTATTTTTTTTATTTTTGGTGGGTAGAGCCCCCCCACAATCCTCAGAAGCAAAGAAATCCTATTACCATGCCTGAGATCAACTAATATTAGTGCTGTACTGATGAGCTGAGAGGAGTTGAGATGTTTCAATGAACAGTATACCATTCTGCCTGTCTTATACCGCTTCCAGGTAGCAAAGGCTGACACAGCAGAAAACATAGTACACTCTTCTTCTTTTAAATTCTATTGAATTATGTCATGACTGTATGTTTTATAAAGTTCCATAACATGCGGTGCTATGATCCCTCACCAAAAGATACATGACAAATATTTTGGTTGCTGTAATCAATTAATACTGTAAATTCTTATCTCCATCCGTACTTACTCAGCATCCACCCCAGTGAAAGCAGCGGATGCTGAGAGTGACATGCTATTTCCTCCTCAATGTCGTTTGGACATTTCGCATCAGTACCTGGATCACAGGCTAATCTACTTTCCCCGTTCGGCCACATGGCCATTTCTCGATTTCAGGTCCATCTGGCCGAACAGGGATGAAGGTCCGAAGCCAGACTTGCTGTATATCTTGAAGCGTCTCCTCTTTATTTTATTAGCCCTTGAGCTTACGCGCATGCGATCACAACCTGGTCTGTCTCTGTCTGTGTCCTTCTTACTCTGGCTGGTCTAATCACATTTCCGCAAGGTGTAATTAGTTAAGCGAGTTAAACGCCGTAATCCTCGGTTCAAGTGTCATGCGTCTGTGCTTAGTCAGTGTTGCTCACCTGGTTGAGCGTCTGATATGAGCAGCATGTACGGTAGTCGACCTCATTCCCCCCCCCCCCCCCCCCCCCCAAAGCTGTGCCGTTAAAACGCAACAGCAGCATGGGGGGGAAAAGACAGGAAAATGTCACCGTTTACAAGCAGCATGAAAGGGGCTGTTCTGTTCTATTGCTCTATTGTTGTTGCAAAAAATTTATGACAGTGAACAAAAACTAATGTGAAATAACTACAATTGAAAGACTTTTTTTTGTTCACGAAATAACATACAAATGTAAGTGCTTGAAAAAAAAAAACAATAATTAACAGAAACTCCATTTTATAAAACTAACTATGGTAATTGAGAAAAATGTCTTTGGTTTCATCTTTGTCCATTAATTTCATACATCAGGATGAGATGTCTTTATTTTGGTATTACTGAGTACAGAAAAAAGAAGGTCAGACAGTTTGGGAATTGTCGTCGACTTAAAAACACAACGCTGAGCAACTTTTGTTTATCTTGCACTCAAAAAAAATACTCCATGTATTAAAAAAACTCAAACTAACTCTAAAACTACTAAAAAGTAAACTGAAACAAAGAATTGCAAAAAAAAAAGTTTAAAAAGTAACAAACATGCTCTAAAAACAGATTGAAACTAACCGAACTTAAAAAAAAACAAAACAAATGTCAAAATGAAATTAAAAACTACATTGAAAAAAGTCATAATATTGGCATCTATCGAGTAACTGGCCCCCACGCTGTTACATTTAATTTTACCTTCCAGACTGTGCTTATCTTTTGAGTATGACGATGTTTTTGGAGCGGCAATCTTTTTCTGCAGTTCTCGTATTCTTATCGGATTGTTCTATTTGTCACTTTTCCCTCAAAATGATTCAAGCTGAGATCCATCACCAACAGATTCTGTTTTTGCTCTCTTTAATTTGCTTGATTTTCCTCGCCCGGATGCTGGATGACACACTTGTTTTTGACGAAAAGACTCAAAAACTGAAAATTGAAAATTGACTGAGTCATCGGTCCAAAAATTATGCCTCCATCTCGAACAGATTCTGTCTGCGAATTATGGAAATAATTCGAGTCATGCTGGGGCAAATCGAAGTTGAATTGCAAAAAAAAAAATAAGTAAGAGTATTCATGCCATGTGTGGAAATGCATTGATGCATGATGTTGACGCATGATATCAGCTGTTGCTGCGCCCCCCCCCCTCCACTCACCCCCAAAAAATCCATTTAGCATTTATGTTTATGATCTGCGCTTTGAGCCTCGTGCACAGCTGCTACAATGACTCGTTCAATTCATGATGGCACTCTGGCAGCTTTTTCTGCTTCAGCCAGAAGCCAAAGCTAAAATGAAGGCTACAGTACAGTACCGATGAAGGGAGCTCACTTGAATACTGCAAATTAAAAGGCAATTTGGTTTGCGTCGCATTTGCCTCGCAGCTTCTTTTATGTACGTTTTTTTTTTTTTTTTCGGCCGGGGTGTACTCTTTCTAAATAGGCTTAATTAAATTAGCAAATTGGAATGGTTTAGAGGGCGACGTGAGGGCACGTAAGGTTAACGCGTTTGCCGCCGCTTCAGTCACGGTGTCTGGGTTTGAAGCGCGGCTCGGGACCGTCTCCGTTGCCAACGTTGCACGGTCTTGCGCGTGCGTGGGCTTTCGTCGCGTACTACGACCTCCTCCATGAATACCTGCATGGTAGGTTTATCGAAGAATCTAAATCAGGGGATGGGCAACTGACTCCCCCACTCTGAGTGGGCCCCTTGATTAACCCTTTCGAGCACAGTGGTTACGAAAGTGGGCAGCTTATCGTGTTAGCGGGTTAGAGGTTATCGTTATTGGTGCATGAAAGGGTTCACTTCAAATCATCAGCATTTTTTGCATTGTTGTGCTTTCTGCCGATCGACGGTGATGACGATGATGATGCTACATTAATATTTGTACAATGAGTGCAACGTGGAAAACCATATTGTCAAATATTGAGCATAATATCAACGCGAGGCACGACGCGAGGACGTTCAAATCAAATGCGTGCAAGCGCGTGCCTGCAAATCTTCTCATCCTACTTATTATTGTGCTCATCTGAAGCACAACAGATCTCATCAAACAGACCGAGTAAATCATTTATCATCCTGAGAAATTAATTAGCTTTTTTTTTTTTTTTTTTTTTTGATTATGCCCTAGAAAGGAAAACGATAATAATAACTCCAAGCGTAATCAAATCAGCAATCACTCAAGCAATGATAAGGATTTACTCCTGATGCTATTTTCGGCCCAAAACTATTCTTCTGGAAGAGTCGGCTCGGTAAGGCTTTGCCTCTGCGGTCTCCACAGTTGAGCTGTGATGCGTTTCTCGAACACTTTGTGATTGACGCGCCGTCTCGCCGATGAGCTTCACACGCTGTGGACCGATCTGGTTTCTTTGCCTCGCGCTTCTAATATTGCGAGCGCCTCAAAAGCCAACTTGGACATTTGGAGGACCGAGGTTCCCCAAAGGGGATTGAGGGGCTGACGCAAAAATCTATGGCGAGATGCTAAATCTTTTATCAGTCTATGATGAATAAAACAAGTTCATGCTTGAAGGCCTCAAGCTGCCTTCCTTTCATTTTGTTGTTGTTGTCTCTCATAGCTAGTAGCCTTTCGCGCAGCATGTGAAGTAGCTTTGTACACAAAGACGAAAGCTGTTTTTCATCCTCCGTCGCTAAGCTAATAACGACGCCCTCGTTGTTGTTCTGCTGATTCAACACAGGCTGTTTGGAACTGATGGCCTTGAGTTAGACTTCTCCATTTTCATAGGACGCGCTATGTGATCATTGTAGAAAATGAGCTGCGCCTTTG